AAATAAATTATACACATGTTTTTTCTCTTTATTCAAATCTGTTGAAATGTAAACATAAACTTTGTCGTTTAAAATTACAAACAATACTTTATTTTACTAAACTTATAATAAAATTTTGCATGATTTAATGTATAATTGATCGTAAAATTTCTATCAATTAATCATACTTCTAATACTTTTATAAGGCAATTATGTTTTAATTAAACGATTAAATGATTTTATAAAAGTATTGATTTCTGAAAAAGTAATTTCATATAACTTTAATTATGTCAATAAATGACGAGCAAAGGGGCCTTCAGTGTCGTCACCGGTGGACGCGTCCCGACGACCACCCGGTGTGCGGACGGATGGGTTGGCGCTATGGCTGACGGCTATGTGTCCGCTGTTTGTGGCAAATGTGGACAATTCATAGCCGCTGTCGGCTATTAGGTTAGACCGAGAGTTGTAGTTACTATTGGTTAATACGCTCGTTGCAGGTGTCATATTAGGTGCGATTATCTATTAGAGGGCATTTAATTTTTAAAATGTCATCGATATTTAAATATAATTTTACGTTTTAAAACTATACAAAATTGTTTCATTAAAAAATGCATTCAATTATTATTAAATTAAATTATGTTTACTTGTATCCAATATTTTAATTGCCACAATTGTTTGAATAATAATATACCTTGTATTAATATTCATTACAGTTGCCAACTCTCAATTGTCAATAAATCATATGATTGATAATATTCGTATGATAGTCATTTATGATTATTTTTCTTAATAAACCAATAGTTATATTTAGCAATGTAAACATGTTACGAACATATCAGTTATAAATTAATTATAAAATCCTATATTAGAAAAACTGATAAACCTTACATTAATTTAATAATTAAAATATTATTATAAGTGCATTAAGGTGAAACTATTTATTTACTTACAATAACACTATAATTTATAAATATGTTAAACACAAACTTGTATTTCACATATCTGGCAAAGTTACTATTAAAAATAACTAACTTATAAAATAGCAATTATTTTAATAACATTTAATCAAATAATAATCACATTAATAATTTTTAATTAAAAGGTTCTTTTCTTTATCCAATCTTTATACTTAATTACTTTAATACATATGATTCTAACTTTTTCAAAAAGTGCCCTGGTCAATGGCCCTGGCCAATGAAATATTGCCCTTACTCTTAGTGCATAAGATATATTGGTAAATTAATAACATGATTTTGTTTTTGAATAACCAGAGATTAAATGTAATATGATTAAATATTATAATAAAACTAATATTACAAGAGTTTGTTTCAAATAATGGTACATTTGTATATATAATGTAAACTGTAACTTAAGTGAGAAGTTTCTTTTAAAATATTTCTCCACTAGCAAATATTTATTTATTGGTCAAGATACTCTCAAGATTATCAAAAAATTTTGTTTATATATTAAATTTTTTCCGTTAAATAAATTATAAAAATTCATTAATCATTATTGAATTAATTGAGTGTAACAATTAAGATTTAAAAAGGGGTCCCCATATTATAATTTTGACAAATGTTTGAATTATAAAATAAATTATATTCCTTACAACTGATAATAAATAATATATATATCAATATAATATGCAAAATATAATAATATTATTTATTAAATATTAAACTATATATGGCTAAAGTTTTATTTTGATACTAAAATCGCTTGTAAATTATTTTAAAAATAAATATAATCATTATTAAAATTAATCAATATTAAATAACTATTATATATTATTTTAATTTATTATATTTAATAACAGAATAATAATAGTTTAACTTGGTTTTAAAATGTAATTTAAAGCATCGTCGGACAATTCGGGCATAATTATGCAAAATGATTATTGCATCTGCCCGCATTATAGAGAAACATATTTAATATTCAATTTATCATAATGCATTCCACAATTTAATCGGCATTTTAGCTGTTGTGTAATCACATATTATATACATGTATGTAGTGTAAAAGTGACTTGCCTACTCACGCTCTAGCCCTATAAATTATATGAATTTAATTACCCAATATTATTACAATTATAATAAAAATAATATATATTATTTTTAAGTTTTTGAAAAACAATAAAATCTATTTTATTCGTTAAAATATAGTTAAAACTTAGCTTATAATTTACATTACAGTTTTAATTTAACAAAATTTTATTTAAATTATTTAAGTGCATATAAACTGTAACTTAGGTTTTAAATTTTTAAAAAAATATTTATTCCCTAATAAATATATATTTTGTGGTTTGTATGTTTTCTTGGAAATTATAAAATTTTGTTAATCTTGTTATAAAAACTAAACTAAACTTGTTATGAATATATAAGTTACTGAATAATAAAGTACCTAGATTATAATAACAAATAACAATTAAAATATTAATATAACTGAATTATGATGAAAATATTGATTTATTAACAATAACATTATAATTTATAAATATATAAAATACCGATTTGCCTTAAAAATGAATTAAACTACAATTATTGAATATAAATGAACATTAAGATCACCATGAACTAGTCCATTTACAGGTTCATAAAATAATGTAATATAAACAAATTTTATAATAGAACTAATAGTACAATAGTTTATCAACACTTATAAATAATCCCATATACAAAGTAAACTGTAACTAAGGTTACAAGTTTCTTTTAAAATATTTCTCGCCTAAATATATATTTTGTTGGTTCAAGTCTTCAAGTGAGGTATTTATTGTTTTTCATTTTAAAACAGTTAAACTAATTATATAATATGGGAATAGTCAAATATATATATATAATATTCTGTTTACTTGTAATTTATTTAAACGCATTTATTTTTAAAATAAATGAAATATAAAACAATAATTTAATTATTCCGAAATAATCAAGTAATGATTCTGGTAAGTATGTTACTAAAAATTTTGTTAAATTATTTAACATAATTTAAATGTCAACTCACCACTATGTATTTGTTTGTTTAACAAACCAAAAGTAAATTTTAAAAATCAACATTTTATTTACTTATACATACATTTCAAACGTTTTAGATTTGTAATATTATTTATATAAATTATATAGTTAAGAATTTTATAAACCACATTCTTTATACTGAAGTGTAATTAAATGCAATTTTAATTAAAATTATATCAATAATGTAATTAACACAAAATATATTTATTTATTATTATTTATTGCGATTATAATCAAAGCTGTAATTTAATTATTGAATATGATTTAAATAATAGCTTAAACAAATTAAATATAATTTATTGGAGAAAGTAAGATATGGATTTTATTTTATGCACTTTTAATTAATTTTATTATTTAACAAAATTGAGATGTAAATACCTTATTATTATAAAATCATCCAGATTAAAGTTGCTAATTTATATTATTGATATTAATTAATAAAACGTACATTTGATTATAAATATTATTCATATGTAAGCACAATCAATATGTTTTTGTTTGTTTAAAAAAAGCATAAATTAATTTTAAAAATTAAATTTCTAAATTTAAAATTAAAATCGACAAATATTATTTGTCTTCAGTATAGATTTCAAACCTCTTAGACTTGTAATGTATATTAATTATACAATTAAGAATTTTACAAACCACATTCTGTATACAAAAATATTGAATTGTAATTAAAAACAATTTTAATTAAAATTATATAAATAATGTAATAAATATAAAATAAATTTATTTATTATTGGTAATTTTAATTAAAATCAAAGCTCTAATTTAATCACTGAATATGACTTAAATTATAACCAATGTGAAATATATACAATTCATTGGATCAAGTATGAAACACGGTTTAAAATAATTTTAAAAGCTAACTAAGCTAACCTAAATAACTTTAAGCTGATTTTATTAATTACTAAAATCATTCAAATTATAATGGCTAATTGCGGTCAATGAATTTTCTATTTATTAAGGTAAAATAATGTATACATAATATATAATTCTCTTTTAGCTCCAATACAATAATTTTAAATAAGTTTTAATAATATTATACCTTATTTTAATATTGGTTACAATTAATGAACAACACTTTGGGCTCTTCAAACACAATTCAAATGTTATGCATATGTTTTGTTTGTTTAAAAATACATAAATAACTTTTAAAAGTAAATTTTTAAATTTAAAATAAAAATAATTTCAATTAACCAATATTATTTGTCTTAATTGTACATTTCAAATTCTTTACTTTGTAATTTATATTAAGTATACAATTAAGAATTTTATAAACCACATTTGTACTGAATTGTGATTAAAAATAATTAATTAAATTAATTTTAATTAAAATTATATCAGTAATGTAATCAACATAAATTATATTTGAATCTTTGCTAATTGTGATTGTAATCTAAACTGCAATTTAATCATTGAATAAGATTTAAATTATAACTCAAGTAAAATACATACAATTTATTGGTAATGAGTCAACAATCCAATTTAAAATAATGCAAATGTATGTAATTTTATTAATTAATAAAATCATCTAGATTATAATTGCTATAATTGCAATCGAATAATTTTGTAATTATTAATGTAATGTCTAAATAATCTTAAATTTTAAGAAAACATGCTAATTTTATTCAACGTAATATTATTATTAATATAATCTTGGCTGTTTTAAGTTATCTAGTCAGTCATACAATATTGGCACAGCAGAGTTTTAATTATATCTTAATTAATTTTTAAAAACTAGATTTGTAATATAATTTGTACGAATTATACAATTAAGAATTAAATAAACAATATTCTTTGTTCTGAATTAAGATTAAATATAATTTGAATGAAAGTTACATTGCTAATTTAATAAACACTGCATATATTTATTTCTGAATTGGTAATTGTGGTTGTAATCAAAGCTGTAATTTAATCATTGAATAAGATTTAAACAATAACTCAAACAAAATATATAAAATTTATTGGGAAATACTGAGAGTCAAATTTAATTTTATGCACTTGTAATTAATTTAAGTAATAGTTACGCACATTAGTGACCGCAACGATAGAGTTGTGGACCCGGTATAGCACCACAGCGTCCACATCGATGGTCAGCGAGTCTTTGGTCAGCACTTTCTGCGCCGGTATGTCATAGCATATCATCCGACAGTCGATTATACAGTACTGGTCTATGAATGGCATTAACTTAGAAACAATATTTACAAAACATAATTAGCTTGACTTTCTTTTATAACATAATTGTTAACCTGATTAGTTAATTACCCATCAGAAATTATTTATAACAAATTTAGAGTGCATTATTATAAGTATACTGTAATTTACCGATGTGAGAGATTGAACCTATTTTGTTATTTTTACCATGTGTTTATTAAACTACATTCTGGACATCGGCACATACAATGAAAATATTTTGTAATTACAAATCTATAATTTAATTCACAATTAGTCAGTACATTTATAAAACTAAGTTAAGTTTATATGATGACATTTGTTTGTAATAAATAAATGAATACATTTTTTTATTAGAATAATGGTAATTGCTATATAATTATAAGCACTTAAAACCGTAACAATTTTTTATTGTATTGATAGACTTTTATATTGATTTGACAATAATTATAATTGGTTTATATAATTAGTGAAATACACTATTTAATTGATAATTTAATTTAATTTTATACACCATTTAGTTTAATTAACGAAACCACAATAAATAAATACAAAGTTAATGCAAAATAATTAGAAATAAAACTGTAATTAATTATTTATCTATTATTATATTTATGTGAATAATTTTCGTTAATTCATTTTTCGGGAAATTCTTGTAGCCAAAACATTCTACATTAGTAAGATTGTGTGCGTACATCTAGGCGTACACAGTATTTTAATATGCTTTGTAATTTATACCTGATTCATGGATTAATCATATATAATGTACATCAATATGAGTAGTGGGGTTTAAAAATATTTTTAAATGATTGTTTAAGAATAATTCAAAAAATAATTTGAATTAAATTATAAATAAATTAAATATTAAATTAAATTAAAATTAAATTATTTAATAATAATCAATAAAATTTCATGTTTATAATTTGTTAAATTATTTTATTTAAATGAATTTAATAGCCATTTATTATATTAAAATTACATTACATATTTATTATCGAAAGTATTTAATTGTTATTTATAATTATATAAAAATTCATTTAATTAATATTTAGTACAAAATGTTATCATTACAGGTTATTCTTAAGATATCACATAATGTTGTTGAACTAATGGAATGTGCATGATATTTTCTAAATTTTAATTTAGAAAAAAATTGCTCACAAATGTATTGACAACCATAATATGTTTGTAATTTTAAACAATTATTTTTTAATTTCTTAAATTCATCAGATAGATTCTTATAAAACTCAATTTTACCACTATTAGAATTAATATTCTCAAATTGTGTTTTATATAACATTAAATTATTAATTTCATTGTGATATTTAATGTAATCTTGATTATAAATTAAATTAAAAGGGTTTTTAAATAAAATAAATTCAAATGAATGTTTTTGCAAATCATTAAATCGTTTTTTATAATTATTAAGAATAATTGTTATAAATTCTACAAATTTTTTAGTATAAATTTTATTTCTCTTATAACTAAAATTTAATGAATATTTGTTAATTATAAATGCAGTATTAGATAAACTATTAAAATTGTTATTTTGTATATCAATCAATAAATGATTTAAACTTGTTATAAATTTATCAATACTGCTAACCATATCCATTATAAATTTATTTTTACCTTGTAATATCATATTCAATTTATTTAAATTATCAGTAATATCTACTAAAAAAGCTAATTTTAATTGAAAATATTTATTCTGTAATATTAATAATTTATCTGTTTTCCCAATTAATTTAAAATAATTAATTATATGGTTAAATAATTGAAAAAATCGTTTTAGACAATTACCGAGAGATAACCATCTGATCTCGGTAAAATAAATTACATCACAAAATTGAGCTTTTTTATCTCTGAGATAATTTCTAAAATTTCTATTATTATTACCTTTGGCTTTTAAAAACTTGACAATTGAAACAACGTGTTTAACTGTTATTTCAAAGTCAATATTTTTAATTATTAAATTTTGTTTGTGTAAAAAACAATGTACATTTTTTAATTTTTTACCATAATTAACATTTAAATGTGTTTTTAAGATTTTAACTAACCCATTATTCTTGCCTAATAAGTTTGGCGCACCGTCTGATGTTATAGACACAAATTTTGTAATATCCAAATTATATTTATTAAAACACTGTAATATTATTTTAAATAAATTAGCACTTGTTGATTTAGTTCTGACCTCAACTAAATCAAAAAAATCTTCATTACAATTAAAATTATTTTCAATATATCTAATAAATATGACAATAAATTTTTTGCCTATTAAATCAGTCGTTTCGTCCAAACATATAGAATAATATTTAATATTATTTAATTTAAATTTTAATTCATTATATAATTCATTAGCAGTTAATTTAATTTCTTTTGCAATAGTACTTGGGCTTAAATATAACTTATTTATGTTATTATTTATAATCAAATTATCAGAATATAAACTATTTGTTATTAATAACATGCACTTTTTTAAAAATATGCCCGTATTCAAGGGTTTCATATGTTTGGCAATATTTACAGCTATTTTATTACTTATTTGCTTATTTTTATTAATTGTAATGTTGCTATTAATTGAATTATTATTATTGTATAATTCAAGCAATTCATTAAATTTATCCTGGCGAATATTTATATCATTTGTAATTAAATAATTTTTATGAAACCTATTATAATGTCTTTCAAAACTATGTTTTGTTATAAAATTAATTTTACCCTTATTGCAATTATTTGTATTACAAATTAAACATATACAAAAATTATCCTGTTTTATAAAAAAATAATTTAGACTCCATTGAGGTTGAAAATACCTTGCTCTTTTTTGTTGAACACTTTTAACTGACTTTCCCTTTTCTCTCTCCTTCTCTTCAATTGCTTTTTCTTTCCAAAGTGTCTCTCTTTCTCTCCAATGTGTCTCTCTTTCTCTCCAATGGCTCTCTCTTTCTCTCCAATGGCTCTCTCTTTCTCTCCAATGGCTCTCTCTTTCTCTCCAATGGCTCTCTCTTTCTCTCCAATGACTCTCTCGATCTCTCCAATGACACACTCTATCGATCCAATAGCTCTCCTTTTCTATTGATTGGCTCTCTCTCTCTCTCTCTCTTGAATTGCTCTCTCTTTCTCTTCAGCTGCTCTCTCTTTTTCTCCAATCGCTCCCTCTTTCTCTTGAATGGCTCTCTGTCTCTCTTCAATAGCTCTTTCAATCTCTTCAATAGCTCTCTCTTTATCACTTGTTATTAAATCCATTTTTATTACTTTTAATATTTATTTTTAATTATTATTTACAATAGTTTTTAAAAACATGTGTTTTGTTTATTTATAATAATTTGAAACAAACATAGGGGAGGCGATGACTGTATTAATAGTAACGTTTACCATGAATAATAGTTATCAAACTAACAAGGTGAATCAGAAACCACGTCAATATTGTTTAGTTCCCTTCACTCTTCGCACGTCTCTTAATATATACTATCAACATTTAGAACAAAAATCGCCTGGAATAGGGAAAGTCAAAGTATAAAATAATTGATATGGCTGATAATAAGTATTTATTATTAATTAATTGTTATTTGGTATCCTTGTTAAATTCTATTTAATAAATGCAAACTTAGAATTAGACTTTTGTTGAATTGATATGTAAAATATAAATATTTCTGATCCATTAGTTAGACCATTTAACATATATTTGTTATATAGATTATAATTCCAACTAAACTCACAACTTAAGATACAGTTTTTACTTTTACATTTTATTTCTAATAATATAGTTTATTTAACTTTTAATAATTAATTTATATGCGAAAATGTTAATTTTAATCTCCCGTTAGCCCCCTAATTTGGTTGGTTGCCAATTTTTATATTAAATTATAAATTTTATAAACATCAAAATACTTTTCTATGAATTATACTGTAGTCAATGGCCCAAATAAATAATGCAGATTAAGTAAACTTAAAGTAATTGCATATAAAATAAGAACTAATGTTAATTAAATATAAATTAGTCGTTAATATCTTTTACCATATAAATTTCTATCATTTACTTCAGATAAATTAATAAGAAACATTATGTAATATTTACAGTTTTATTTTAATAAATAATAATAGCTTATAGACTATGGATGAATAGATACTGACCCTCAGGGCATCATTAATGAGCGAACACTCGGCCAGTATTTGTGTCAGTGTTTTAGTGCCCAATAGATTGCGAACAGTAGTGGCGGCCAAGAGTTCGGTCGCCCGCCTATAGTTACGCACATTAGTGACCGCAACGATAGAGTTGTGGACCCGGTATAGCACCACAGCGTCCACATCGATGGTCAGCGAGTCTTAGCATAAACTATTTTGGATGTACTACCCTTTACTAAACCAGGGTAGGGCGATTCATCTTCCACCATATTCATATTTTGCAATGTAAACATAGTATATAAAGCTTATATATTATAATATATTATTTACATACTTTATTTGACAAACTGTAATTTAAAATATGAATTCAATTTAAACTATAAGCCCATTTTAATTACATTTTTTATGGTCAGCCCAACCGTCGAACATTACTTTTTAAATTTTGAAACAACATAATCTTAAAAACTATAAATTATTTAATTAATAGTTTAATATAAATCAAATATTAATTATAATATCCAAATTATTAATGATTAAATCTTTTTATAAATTATCTAATTTTTATAATAGTTTCTTCCAATTTATAAATATAATAAGATTTAATTTTTTAACTAGTGAAATATTATGGAGTTAGTGATATTCATTTTATCTTTAGGCCTTATTCATGTCCATTATCCAGGTCGTAGAGATAATGTAAAAAGCCAATCTTTACCTTAAATATTATAATAGAACTAATATAACAATAGTTTGTCAATACTTTCAATTAATCCCATATACAATGTAATATGTAACTTAAGGCACGAGTTTTTTAAAAATATTTTCCCCCTAACAAATATATATTTTATGGCCTATATCCGCCTCTGAAAATTATATAGAATTTGGTTGATATTGTTATAAAAACTAAACATAAGCTAAAACATAGACTGAATCAGCGTGTTTGCTTGAAAACTATCTTCAATAGCATAAACAAATTTACTGTATTATGTTCAAATAACTTATACTTGATTTAATCATTTTGTTCGTAAACAACACCGCTTTAAAATGAAATCAGTATAACCACGATCATCATTGAGCCAATCATGTTATTTGATAGTTAAACTTTTTATATGTTATTCCATAAACAAAAATTATCATTTACTTTGAATATATAAGACTTGGAGAACTAAACCTAGTTTCTTTACAATTTTTATTACAAATTAAAATAATATATATAACTATCAGAGTTTTAAACAAATTGTTTTCATAATTTAAAATAAATATATTGCATAAATATTACTGGTAACTTTCATATATATATTATACCAATATCAATATTTATCATGCAATTCATCTAATTACTTAAAATAAATCATGTTAAATTTACAGGTTGTTTGCTCACAAATAATAAAAACATATTATAAGGACTTATAAATAATTTAAACGATTTTAAAACTAAACTATGAATTATATAATTTAATAATGTATTAAATAATTAATATTAACTATAATGTCCAAATTATTAATGAAATAAATATAATTATAAATTCTATTTGCCAACAAGCTTTTAATTTTACATAAGTCCAGGTTTATAAAAATAAAATTATAATGATATTATTACAATAAAAATGATCAAAATTGTATTAATAAACGTTAAACTAAATTAAAACTTCAACAATAATGATAACATTCTATAATTATAAATAAATAAACATTATTGTAATTTGTGTACAGAAAATATGATTAAATTAGTTAACCCCTAATTGAAACAACTCGGTGGGAATGGGCACCACATAAGTGCTGTTATTTTTCAAGGATATACTATTTAAGGTTTGTAGGAACCGGAGCTGCACAGCCATGGGGTCCATATTGTCCGCCGCCTCCTTCAACGCCATCGACGCCCCCTTTTCTCCGTCGGCGGCGATGTATTTGGCGATCGCCTCCCGAGTGGCCTGTGCTTCGGCCGACAGCGCGAACTGCATATCCGCCGGGATTTTTACGTTTTTGATGTCTATTCGCTCCACACATACGCCCCAGAACTCAGTCGCCGCGTCCAAGTGTTGCTGCAATGAAAGTGCAATAGTATTGCGAAATGTGGTTACTCTATTTACAATAATATAGTTGATTAAAATTTTAATAATAAAGATATTGGGTTAATAATTAACAATTTTTGGTTGTTTGTTAATTTTTATATTTAGTTATGAATTTTATAAATAACCAAAATATATAAACCATATTATATTAAAGTTG